CACGCACACGCGTCCGGCACAAATTTAAGCCACTGGGTCCGGACTCGAACCGCGGTCAGCTACATGGGAGTCTAATGACATAGCCATTACGCCAACTGTTGGTCCCTTTTTTTATTCTTTTTCAAAGGCACAGCCCAGAGAGGGGCCAGGCCTTCATGGCTGGACTCTAGAGCCTTGCTGGCACCAGGGCAAAACGAGGCTGGACAGGGTCTCAGGAGTTGAACAAGCTCTTCAGGGCCCCATTCAGACTCCCTGAGCTCGGAGCCGCAGGGTTTCTGACTAAGTGTTGTCCAGCTTCGGGTACCTCGAGGGGCAGCTTCTCACATAGGCATGCAGGTCAACAGTAACTGAGCAGCTACTAAGTTCCAGGCCCCGACACTTGTGCTGAGGACACGGAAGGAACAAAATCAAATCCTACAAAGTTTGAAGCCTGCAGCATGGGCTACACTGTGGCACAGTGGTTAAGCGCTGCATGTAAGAAGCTGGATCCCACATGGCCAAAAGCAGTTCAACTCCCAGCCATGGTGCCTTGAAAAACATGCTGGGTATGTGTGTGTATACATGTGTGTATGTGTGCCCAGAATCCTGACAGGATGGAAAAAGGACGACAGCATAACGTCCCACTGAGGTGGTTTCCACCCTCAAGCGCACACATACTCTCTTTGGTGAACACACATGCCCCCTGGCAATTAAAAAAGCATGTGTAAGGCCAGCAGGTGACGTGGTGGTTAAGGCGCTGGACACTCCCACATAGAGACCACAGTTAGAGACCCGGGCCTGGTGGCTGGCTTGCTTTCTCACTTTCCTTCTCTCTCTCCCTCTATGTCTCTCTCTAGTCAAATTAAAATAACTGAATGGATAAAAATAAGTAAGTAAATAATTCTGGAAAAAAAGACCTATCTTAAAAAATTTTGCAATTTTTTTTTAAATGAAAAAGCAGCTCACTGTTTAGTGAGTGGTGGGGAATGAAGGCATAAACAAATAATGCCAGTACAAACGCACTCCCAAGGGCTATTGATCAGAGTAAGCCCAGGGCGCAAAGTACACTTAGGAAGAAAGTCAAGGAAGGCTTCCTGGAGTAGGTGACGTCTGCTCTGAATTTTAAAAGCAAAGGAAACCACTGTGCAAAGGCACATTTGATTACTCCACGGGGTGCACAGATGTGTGTATGTGGCCACAACTGGGTCCTTATGGCCACAGCATGGGAGGCAGGGAGTGGAGACAACAGCAGAGAGGTAACTGGGGCTGGGGGGTGGGCTCTCGGGTGCCATCCACAAAGCAGAGACCTTGTCCCAGACAACAGGAGGCAGTGAAGGGCTCAGGCTGGGAAACTGCATGAGTGGGTTCCACATGGAAACGTCCTCCAGGCAACAGCAGCTCAGAGGCCAGATTGCAGAGGGAGAGGTGGGGAGTGAAGGGCCAGGCAAAGGGGAACAGTCAGGACTGCTGCCATGTCCCGATTAGAAGCGAGAGGACCCAGGAGGGTGAGGCAGCCCTTCTCTGGGCAAACACCTCTGCGCACCGAGCACGCCTCCCGGCCAGGAGCCCTGCTACGCGCTAGGACGCAGCAGCGAGGAGGGCTGGGTCCTGCGCTCTCGGGACTCACGTTGTGGTGAGGATCTACAGGAGAGCACAGAGGTGAGCCGCCTTCAGGATGGGGGACAGGCAAGCCCAGGTGCTGCCAAGCAGGGAGGGGTGGGGCAGGGAGCCTCTGATCAGGCTGAACCCTGGATCAGGAACACAGGTCTCTAGCCAGAGAGGAAGTCAGGGTTCACCCTCCCACACACCCAGTTCCTGTTTCTCTGCGGGCAACCGCGCAATGATCTCATGGTGGGTGGGGCTCGGAAGAGGAAGCAGGCTGGGGTGGAGGGGGTTCCAGGGTGGTCGAGTCAAAGAGGCCTCTCACCAGTGGAATGACCTTCTCCTCCTCCCTGCATCTCATCTTCAACCTCTGGTAACAGGTCTTGGGAGTGGTCCGGAGATAAACTGAGGATACAAAAATATGTGGGCTCATTAGCCTGTTCATGGCTTGGAAGCAGAAAGCCACGACTAAAGGGGAGGAAAGCTCTCGGGCACGGGGTGGAAGGAGACGTCTTCCCAGCTCAGAGCAGGGGAGACTTGCCAAGGGTCAGCTCTCAGCTCGACCAGTGGCCACCTGTGCAGCCCCACTGGCAATCTTGACCCTCCTGTTCTGACTTTCACTCCCCTTCCATGTCACTAGGCACAGGGTCGCTGGGGAGCTGAGGTGCCACCGCAGACAGAATTCAGCACAGGGCCTGGTACATGGCTGGTCATGCAAATGCCCAGGTCTAACCCAGCCCTGCCTTTATAAACAGGGAAAATCCACCAAGGTACAAAGGATGGGGGCTGAGAGGAGCTGACGGGAGGGCAGCTTAAGGCACAAGGCCAGGATATTTTTCCATGAGGGCCCTGAAGCCCCCACGTCCTGTCTGCCCTTGGGGAAGGAATCGGCCATGGCAAGCATACTGTCTACTGCCCATGCAGGACAGAAGCCCGGCCAAATACATACTTGCTGGGACCAGGGGGGAAGGGGAGGGGCAGGGGCACCTCACCTATCAAATCAACAGACACGTCCATGTTCCTCACGATCCAGTCGAACCATTCGGACAGAACCACGTACTCCACCTCGGGCATCTTCCCGCTGCAGTGAGTGGTGAGGGTTATTCAGCCATGAGGGAGTTCGTGGGCTGCCCATTCCCCGGACAGGTCACCAGGGCACCATGGCTGACTATGAGCCACACGACACTGGGCACGACATTGGTAGTGACCATGACCCTACATACTCCTGGCCCTCTGCTGTCTGGAAATGGCTTAGGGTATGAGACCGCAGGGTCGTGGCACAGGTCAAAGGGGGATGGACCTTCTTTGGAATTTGAAGTTCAGGCACAGACAGGGACTTTACGGCTTCTCCTTTGAGAACAGAGACAGCGTTCAGGTTGGGAGATGGATTAGCACTCCAATTTCCCTTCTAGAAATGGATTTTGTGAAAATAATCACAGAATAACGGTGCTCACTCCAGCACCGTTAAATGAGGGTGTAACAGAAAATTGCACGGCAGCAGAAAGATGACATAAAATAATATTTAATGACATGGAAAATGCTCGCAATCTAAAATTCAATAAAAAACAGCAGGATTTAAAACTGTGTGTCTATGACCCCAACTACATTTTCAAAAGTATTCACCTATTTTTTTTCAGAGGTTTTTGCTATAGAGTGTGTGTACTCGGCATAGAGAGAGACAGAGACAGTGAGAGGGAAAGTGAGAAGTTACCCCCAGGGGATGGCTACACCACAATCCCTTCTCCTCCATTCCTCCTAGGATCTTGGGCACGCGCGCACACACATACCCAGCATGATTTTTAAGTCACTGTGTCCAGGATTTGAACCATGGTTGATCATGCGGGAGTCCGGCGGCATAAATCACTATGCCATCTGCTGGCCCCACCCATACATTGTGAAAAGAGGGGAAAGAAAAACACCACCATGTTAATAGTGCTTTTCTCTGAGCTGCAGAACTATGGGAGACTTTGATTCTTTTCTTTATACCTTTCTGTATTTTCCAAATCTTAACAACATCTTAGTCCTCAAATCAGGAGTGAGGGGGAGCCTTACTGTATACTTAAAATGCTAACTTAGGGGCCAGGTTGTGGTGCAGTGGAGAAGACCCTGGGCTTGTGTCCTGGAACCCCCCAAGCACGCCGGCCACACACGTTCTGGTGATCTGGGCTGGCTGACCCCAGGAGTAGAGCAAGACCTGAAAACCTGTCAGGGGGACAGTATGGGGCTGCCTGTCTGCTTCTCTCTCTGTCCTACTGTCTAGAAATAGAAGAAACAAAGAAAAAGTAAAATGCTAACTTTAACTATAGTTACTGATCATGTATTGTTTACTTGAAAACTGCTAAGAGTAGAAATTTTGAAGGTCCCCATCTTAGAGCCAGCAGGTGGCATGGTGGTTAAGGCACTAGACTCCTACATGGCTAACTGGGGTTCAAGGTTCAGACTCGGTGGCTTGAAAATCACACTGGGCACGTGCGTGTGTGTGTGCGTGTGTGTGCGCGCGTGCCTAAGAGAAGGACGGAGGAGAAGGGACCCTCTTTCTGGGAACACACGTGCCCTCATGCCTCCCCCTAAAAAATGTCCTCATCACAAAAAAGTAAACAGATGAGGTGGCAGATATGTTCATCGGCTTGATTTAATAACTCTGCCATGTATACCTCTATCAAATCTTTGTATTATAACCTATAAATATATACAATTCTTACTGCCAATTAAAACTACAAAGTTTTAAATGAACAATAGAATAGTAACTGAAAAAGAGAGGTAGGACGGCAGCACGGCTGCAAACGGTGATGCTCTGCAAGGACGGCCCACACGGGAAGGTCCCAGGCTCGTGTCTGGAGACCTCCCTTGGCACGCCAGGCACTGTGAGCCCCTGATCGCTTCAGGAAGCCACCCTGAGCTCACTGGGTGGGGCATCCCTGCCACAGGGACCCAGTCTGGAGAGAGGTTTGCATTCCTCATGCTTAGGGGGGAGCCACCGGCAAGGCACCCGTCCTTGCTCCCACCAGCTAGTGAGAAGCATGTCACCACCACACTATTGTCACTGGAAGGCAATCACGCTGAGGACATGAACAAGACGTGGAGCAGGAAAACAGAAACAGGGTCAGAGCCACCGAAGGAACCCAGCTGGGTGCCAGGGACAGCCTCATCGTTCAGGCTACTCTGAGTCAGGTTTCAGTAAGTCCAGCCGAGCATTTGACATTCAAGAAAGCAAACGAAGGCCAGGAAGTGGTACCACAGTAATGCAGCCAGACTCACATACAAAAGGTCCTGGGTTTGTGCCCTGGAGCCCCCCCCACGCCCCCCAATGTGACTGTGACCCAGGCCAGCTGAGACCAGGAGTGGGTTGTGGTGTGAAGACCTTATTGGGAGTGCCCTCCTCTTTTATGGAGGAAATAAATAAATAAACTTAAGGGGGGGGGGAGCAGCAGGTGGCATGGTGGTTAAAGCACTGGATTCCCACATGGCTGACTGCAGTTTGAGTCCCAGACCTGGTGGCTTGAAAATCACGCTGGGAGCATATGCATGTGTACCCCACATTCCAAGAATAAACAAAGGATTGCAGCATGGCCATCCCTCCAGGGGCTTAATCTCACTTTCCCTCTTTCTGTATCTCTCTCTCTCTCCTCTCCAGCGAGCGCCGGTGCCCTGTAACAAAAACCTGGGGTGAGGGGGGGACCTCTCTTGACATGTTTTCCTTCCCTGGGAAGAGATGACCAGAAACAAAACTAACTCTGTGGAAGTGAAGATTTCAAAAAGGAAGCCGCTGATCAGCCCCTCCCCTTCTCCAACAAACACACAGCCTGAGGACTCAAACTGGCAAGGAGGGGCGTAAGCAATGGGGGAGAAAGCTGAGCTGCCAGAGCAACAGCCTCCCATGTCCCTCAACCTAGACAGGCCACTGTCAGACTTTGCCACCGGAGGACCTTGTACGTGTCTGCAAGGCTCGAGAGAGATCTGTCAGCCCCAGACGTGGGAAGGTCCCCACAGATATCCCGTCAAACCACAGTCCAGAACACATGAAGCACAGTGTTAACTGAAGGCAAACCAAACACCACCACAAGAACGTGTCACATGTGTGTGGAGCTGCATGGAGATAGGGAGATGGGGGTCACTCTGGGGTTCCGGGGCATTTCGAGACATCTGCTATTCTAAGCCCCATCCCAGAACAAACTAAGCGTCCCCCCATGGTCTGATGCAGCCAGAGGAGGGTGCACCACCTTCCTGATGCTTTGCTGAGGGCTCCTCTGCAGGGTGGCCTCCCTGAGGGTAGGGTCACTAGGCCAGACCGATAGGAACCCCCTCCAGGGCTGCCAGGAGCCAGTACTCGGAGGTGCTAAGGATCCAGGACCACTGCTGAGCTGAGCTCTGCGGGGGCACAGAGGCCGGTCTCCTGATTCTGAGGGCCACCAGGTAACGGGCAGGGTTTTCTCTGCATCTGTGGTTCCTCCCAGAATTCCCCCCATCTGCTGCTGTGTCAACCTCAGGCAGCACTGCCCAGCGCGCCTGGACTCTATTCCCATGGACCACTCAGAGGGTGGTGGCCTGCTATAGGTAATCCTGCCACGCCACTCACCCGCAGTGGGCAGAGAGGCTTTCACAGTGCCCTCCCCTTATCCTGAGGGTGACAAAACGAGGCCTTGGGTCCAAAGGAGCAAGCCCACTGCCCTGTTTGGCGCAATTTGCTGCAACCTTCCCCTGAGGCTAGAAAGCCTCAGTTCGCGCAGGTTGGACTAGGACATTCTCACACGCAGAAACCAGCGACTTTACATACATAAGGTCCTTCCGTTTCACAAGACCTTGTGAGGTCGGTTTTAGTCCCAATTTACAGATAAGGAAAACTGAGGCACAGAGAAGGGAAGCCCAACTCTGTCCAGGCAGGGATTCGAGCCTGGCTCTCCGTGGTCCCCAAATCGAGGCACTCCTCACTGCATCACGGGCCCTCCTGGTCTGCCAGCTGTGGTGATCCGACCAGGTCCAGTGCTCTGGCATAAGCTCAAGGCCATGAGACCTCGGTCTAGACCAGAGCCGGGGAGGGCCAAGCTCCAGGGCCAGGAGGGAGGTAGCCACACCGAGTCTTAATCATGTGCCCAACCACCAGCCACAGATGAGTCAGGAGCCATTCCCCCAGCAGGGCCCCGCTCCAGTCTCCGACTTCTGTTCTCAGCAAAGGGCAACCAGGCAATCTTGGAAAACCATTGCATTCAATTATTTAGCCCTTGAGGCTCAGGCCATACAACTGCCCCCATAAATTAGTTTTTCTCACCACCTTCTGCTTTTCATGTCAGCCTGGTGCCTACGCCTCAAAAGTTCTCACCTTTAGACACCAGGTAACCGGGACCTTCCTCTTCAGCCAACACTCGGCCCTCTCCAACCCCACCCACCCCGCTGGCATGACTGCATGCCCATCTGCCCACCCCAAGCTTGCCGCAGTGGGGAGCACTGGACGAGGCGGGGCTCTCCCTGGGTGAGCTCCTACTTGAGGCCCCAAAAGGCAAGAATGCCCTATGAGAGCTTTGGTTTTGGGGAGATGCAGAATTCCAGTATGTGGGCTTTTCTGGGAATCAGAGCCTCCAACCGCTGACAGCAGGGCCATCTCTGCTGAGTGCCTCTCTACCTGAATCCCCCCCAAATCCCAACCCAAGGCTGCAAGGGTCCTGAGGAAAAGATCAATCCCAGCACTGAGGGGGCAGTTGAACCTCTTTCCCCCACTTCGTGAAAGAGCTCCTCACTTAATACACGGAGAACATCCACTCTCTGGCAGAATCGGAAAGACTGGAAGGCACAAAAGCATGGGAAGCAACTACAGAAACCAGAGACAGAGACAGAGACGGCATGCGAGGAGGGCGAGTAATCAGGGCTAGGAATCAAGGGTAAAAAAAACATTAACCAGGACCAGCAGATGGCATGATGGTTACATCGTTGGACTCACACAGTCGACTGTGGTTCAAGTCCTGGACCCAGTGCTTAAAACACACTGGGCACATGCATGTGTGTGTGTGCCCAAGATCTGGAGGGGAGAATGAAGGGGAAGAGACTGCGGCATGGCAGGGGGTGATTTCTCTCTTTCTGTCTCTCTGTCCCTCTCTGACTCGCCGGCAAGTAAACATACCCTATAGCAAAAATCTCTTAAAAAAAAAAAAAAAAGAATTCAAAAACAAAAAGAAAAAAGAAAAAGAAAAAGAAAATTATCCTTTGATGACAATATGTATGGTAGTTTCCTTGACTGGACAAATATATAGGGTATTCATGCTGGGAAAATTTGTTTTCAATGTTGTAAGGATATACAGCCATTGAATGTAAAAACTAAGAAAAATCAAATAAAACAGCTCCCCACCAGGGCGTGTTAGAAAGCCTTTTCCCTGCATACCCCAGGTATGAGGAAACAGCTCCGAGGCAGGGACTGACGCCTCCCCCTCATCTGTGTCGTCTTGTGGTTCCCAGGACCCAGCTAGACACCCTGCAAAAGACCCTGCTCCGGGTCCAGGCGAGGCATCCAGCCACATCAGCTCTATGCTGCACCTGGTAGAGACTCAAAATGGCAATGATCCACGTTTGGGGAAGGGGAGCAGGAACTTCTGAAAACATCTCCTTTCTCCGTAACAGTTCAACACAGATGAACCAATACATGGAGGGAGGCCAGAGTTATGAGGAGAGTGACCACATGGAAAGCCCAATTCTATCCTTCCGTCCACGCTCCCTTCTGGAGCTCTGGCTAAAGATACTGCACATCTAGAGAGAAAACCGCTGCCCTGAGCCTGCTCCACTCCCCGCGGAAGAATAAGCCCACAGACTACCTGGAGCAATGACTGTGGAATGCGGAAACCACAGGCCGGGGCAGAAAACTGAAGAAACTCTGCCCCATGCAGAACTTTCACCCTGGCCCCAAGGACAACCCTCGGGACTGGGCTCTTGTTCTCAAGGTACCCAAAGCCCCAGTGAGGCCCCAAAGAAGCCACAGGGACAGAGCTCCATGGGGAAAGAGCAGGGGTATAGGGATGCTCCCGGCTCCGGGCTTCTCCTGAGGTCTCTTCCTCAAAGTGGGATGCCCAGCCAGCAGAAATGCAGCCTCTCGGAGACCACCCTGGCCTTACTGCGGCAGAATGTGCGTGTTAACGAGATGCACGGGTGACGGGAGACGGCTAGAGTAAGGCCTGGGTGGAAAGGGGCAGAGTCTCCCCTGGAGCCAGCACCTCAGGATTCTCGGACTGTGGCTTCAGTGAGCCCTGATGCCTTTGGCCCTGGTGACAGAAAGCCAGTCGTCTCTTGTCACTTCCTCATGTGCTGCTGGCGCTCCACACGGCAGGATGCACATCGCCTTCCCCTCTTCTGGTTAGTTCCCTGCCAGATCCGGAAGGCACACTGACTCTGTGATCCCTTCTCAGGTCCTCTTTACAAACAGGGTCAACCCACAATAGATGTGGCTCCCAGGGGATGCCCAGGGGTCTCTGCCCACCCCTCAACCACCCGGCTAATGCCCCGATTTCCAGGGAACACAGAAGTGAACCACCTGCCTGGAGAGGGGCTTCCCCTGCCCCTGCCCCGGCCCCTTGGCTTACTGCCCCTCAGTTTACTGCCCCTCGAACTTGGGTCTCCGGGGTATATGGTTGGGGGAGAGGGGGTACGTCAAGCCATGTGCTGTTTACTAAAGGAGCGTCCATTTTTCTCAACAATAAGTACATGGACCATTTTTTTAAAAAATAAAAACAGAACGTATTATGAAGTAGAACACAAAATCCAAATGAATTTCTGGGATGAAAGATATTATGGAGTAGAACACAAAATCCAAATGTATTTCTAGGATGAAACTTCTTCCTTGGGAGAAACCTCCAGCTTGTTCTCAGGCTACTGCTTCAGGTCACGGGCTGGAGGGGAGGGCTCCGGGGAGACAGCTGCCTGTGTGCTCGTTCCTCTGCACCAGGAGACTTCAGTGAAAGGGTCAGAGGAACCTGCCCTGCCCCCATCTCCTTGACGACACAGAGTCACCAGGGCAGGAAAAGATCTAAAAATACTAAAAGTTATAGTCTCTTCCTGCACTACCCCCAAAACAACCCAGGGCAAGGCCCACGTTATCTGGACCAAGGCCATGGCCATGGAGACTGGCCCATCAGAAGTGGAGTGACAGGGACCAGCAGTTGGCGTAATGGCTATGTCGCTGGATTCCCATGTAGTCGACTGCGGTTCGAGTCCCGGACCTGGTGGCTTAAACTCACGCCAGGCATGTGTGCATGTGTGCCCAAGATCCCAAGAGGAGAAGGGATTATGGCATGGCCATCCCCCCTAGGGGGTAATTTCTCACTTTCTATCTCTCATAAGACGGCTTCCTTTCTCCGTCCCTCCTCTGTGTGCCCAGGATAAAAATCGGTTGAATAAATGAACAGGCACCTTCTTTTTTTTTTTTTTTGGAGAGGTTTTTCGCTATAGGGCGCGTGCGCTCGCCAGACAGACAGAGAGATGCGCGTGCCCGATGTCCAAAAGACTCTCTAAAAAAAAAAAAAAAAAAAAAGAAGTGGAGTGACAAAGGACCACGTGTGACTACCAAAGCCATGGACAGCAACTAACACCATGACCTGGGACAAAGACAAACAGCTCCTGGGGAAAGTCAGCTGGTGTTGGGCACCGTTGAGGGAGTGGGGCCTAACGAACAGTTCCGGGAAGATCAAGGTGGGCAAGGACTCTCATCAGGGTCACATGACCTTGACTAGGCAACTGGTCCAAAGGCTCTTCTGAGATGGACGCCAGGAATTAGAGATGAGACATGGGTTCAGAGAAGGTTAGAAACTTGGCTGAGCAAACTCCAGGGCCAGGATGGAGCACAGATGCAGCTACCCACATCCTACTCTCGCCCCTTGACTCTGGCCTCTCCACATGAGGAACCTGTCTCTCTGTCTCTCTTTCTCATGAATAAATGAATGAATAAATAAAATCGTGGAAAAAATTTTAATGAAGTATAATTCTTTAAAAAGGAGGATAGCAAGGGTCTGAAATCATTTAAACAGGGCGGTTGGGCAGGGTTGGGGGGTGAAATTTAGGAGGACAGCTGCCGATGACAGGAGTCAGGAGCCAGCACACCCAAAGCGGAAGGAAGAGTATCTTGGGCTGATATCAGGACCAGTACTCAGAGGGAGCAATGCAGCGCCCCATGCTCACAGCAGGAAGCGGCAGTAATGTGGCGAGTCCGACAAGGACTGAGGGGTGGGGTGCAGCTACTAAGAAGGAAGCAGCAAGGATGAAGCTGAAGCTTTCCCCCAAGTTCCCCAGAAGTCAGCAATCCACTGATCCCAGGAATGGAGGGCCCCACGCCTGAGTCTTTGGCATTAATGAAAAACCAGAGCTCCTCCCCACAACCCTGACTGTGACACAGTCTACGGCGAGGGCAGAGGCAGCTTGGAGTGGAGACCACAGCAAACACTACTTACACGTGTAACTGTAACACACTTGGCCTCTCCCACCTCTCACCCTGGGCGTGTGTGCCCACATGACCAGCTCTGGCAAATGGAGTGTGAGCAATCGTGGAGCAGAGGCCTGAAAAGCATTCCTCTGGAGCTCTTGCCCTCTGTCATCACCATGAGAAGTGAATGTCGAGGCTAGCTGGCTGGTCCCAGAAGGAGGATGACAGCCAATAGGAGAAGAGATGAGTCACCACAGTCACTTTTTCAGAGGCCATCCTAGAACAGCTGACCCTCAGACACCTCATTAAGCCCAGCCAAGGTCAGCAGAGCTGCCTGGCTGACCACCCTAGCTGACTGGGGCAGCTGTCTGCCACTGACATGGCGTGGTTGTTACACAGCATTACCTTGGCTATCAACTGAATGTGCAAATTCTGATCTTATGTCAAAAAAGTAATGGCTCAATAAATGATCAATTTTGTAAACTTCAGTACCTTCTATACAGGTTTTCTACAAAAATGTATCTTGCGCTGTGAATCGACCTCTCCATCAACCGTACTGGTGAAGTCTAAAGGAAAACAAAAAATAATTCACTAACTCAGGTGAAGAAGAGCGGGTCAGAAAGCTTTCAGAGATGAGTGCTACTGCCCACACCTACGATCTTCACTGCAAATGAGACCCAAGGGACAGCAGGGAGAGTGAGGCAGGTCCCTGGCCAGAACCGAGTCTGACGTTAGGCTCAGCTGTGTTCCTCTCCCCACCCTGACTCTCTTCACACCCTCAAGCTGGGTGGACAGCACAGCAATGCTGATGTGAAAGGCTAGTAGGTGGCGGCCTCGTTCAAGGGAGGGGCGAGGCTCCACAGAAACATGGGCAAGCATGGGGAAAACATGCCAGGTACCATCTTCTTGAAGCAAAGCGTGGTGATTATTAAGGGCCTAACAAGGGTGAATCTGCCTGAGCGGAGGGATCTGCATGCCTGAGGTGGAGCCCCATGGGCCTGAGGTGTGGTAACATTCTGGAGTCTCGGCCTGTAAAAGCTTGCAAGAACCGTGGCCAGGAGCAAGGAGGAAGACCTGAGGTTGCCCCTCTCTGCCAGGATGCTCACACCCTCCACAAATAACCTTTCCCTTCACAGTGTCCCTTCGGGATGCAGGAGGGGCCCTGACCCATGCTGCCAAGTGGACAACACTGCTGTCACTTGACCATGACCCGCAGCATGGCCCATGCAACCTGGGCCAGCAAATCAGAGGGAGATTCAAAGCCATCATCAGGAACTCCCCGACTCTCTCCTCACTTGTCTATCTGTCCATCCAGCTCCCTTCCCGTCTTTCCACTCCCTTTACTTTACAACTCCATTGCCCATCTCCGGAGACCTACTCATCCATTTCCCTCCTCTGGCTCATCTTCCTTAGCCCACCCATCCCTCTGTGTCTGCCTCATTACAGGGAGATTTCTTTAAACGGTGAAGCACACTTATATCTCATTATGTTCAGATTATGAGATACAGTTTAGGTTTGTACCTGAGTCCCCACCTGAGAAAAGCGGGGTGAGCAAAGGGGAAATGCACTAACTTCAGACCCTTTATCTGTATCATGCTAACAGACACTCGGGGAGACACAACTGCAGATCCGCCACAAAGGTTCTCACATCTTTCCGTGTTTAAGCTGCAGGTTGGCTGAAGAACGATAGCTAGAGTTACAGCTGTCAGGCGTGCCGATGCACCTGGCTGCAGAGACAGCCTGTCTCCTTCACTGAGAGCCCTAAAAGTTAGTATCTTAGCTTGTGCTTGCAGCTTTGAAACACAAATGCCAATCAGATCTCCTTAGCCACTCTTT